GCGTTCAATCCCCGACCGTCCAAGTGGTTGGGACACCATTCCTTTCCCCCGTCTCATCCCAAATCCTTATCCTGACCCCTTCCCAGTGCTATATAGTCGTAATGGCTTGGCGCTTTTCCTTGATAATTCCTTCCTTCTAGAGCCCATGGACCACACCACGGTGAGGTTATCTTATCTTGAGGTTATCTTGAGATGATTTCGGGGCTTTTTTTTTTAGTGTCCCCGCGGCCCGGTCCTCGACCAGGCCTCCACCCCCAGGAAGCAGCCCGTGACAGCTGACTAACACCCAGGTACCTATTTACTGCTAGGTAACAGGGGCATTCAGGGTGAAAGAAACTTTGCCCATTTGTTTCTGCCTCGTGCGGGAATCGAACCCGCGCCACAGAATTACGAGTCCTGCGCGCTATCCACCAGGCTACGAGGCCCCTCAAGGTGAGTGTGAAGTCTGTGTGGCACTGCAAGATGGCAACACAACCACGGTATTAACATATACATGATAATTGAGTATTATACATGATATTATATTATATAATTATATTGATAATTGAGTATTATACATGATATTATACGGTATTATACATGATAATTGAGCCAGTTACTCTGGCCCTATTATAGCTCTCCTTTTACTGCTTGACGCGGAAATACGTGTTCTGTTCGTGTGTGTACTCACCTAGTTGTGCTTGCGGGGGTTGAGCTCTGGCTCTTTGGTCCCGCCTCTCAACCGTCAATCAACAGGTGTACTGGTTCCTGAGCCTACTGGGCTCTATCATATCTACACTTGAAACTGTGTATGGAGTCAGCCTCCACCACATCACTTCCTAGTGCATTCCATTTGTCAACCACTCTGACACTGTGTGTGTGTGGGTGTGCGTGTGCGTGTGCGTGTGTGTGTGTGTGTAGTTCCACAAGGACGCACGCAGCTTGTGAAGCATGCGTCATAGATGAAACAACCTGTCTTCTCGCATAACAATGCTACGTAACGTAAAAGTAATTACGTAACGTAAAAACATTGAACGTAAAAGTCCCCAAACATAAAAGAAAGTTGTATTAAAAATCTTGGCGGATCGCAAAATTGATGTGAGGTCCCGTTTTCTATCGTGGGTCCTTGAATAGATTAGGGTTCCCCCTTGTGACGGTTCCGAGGATCAGTGTCCCTGCGGCCCGGTCTCTGACCAGGCCTCCTGGTTGGAAGTCTGGTGAGCTACTGTTGGACGCAGCTGCTCGTATGAATCACAGCCAATTTGGTACATCATTTTTGTGACGTTTTGAACGCTGGAGAGGACGGGCGAGATGTTGAGAAGGGTGGCTTGGCGTGGTAGATGGTGACGCAGATGGTGCAGGTGGTGTAGGTGGTGCTGGTCACCTAGTCACCCCCAGGTGGCCGTCGGCCCCGTGTCAGTGGGCCGGGTGATGAAATAGCTTTACCTATAAGGAGTGTAGGTGATCAGATGTCGACACGCCGGCCACAAGAGAAGGGGCACCTGGTCAAGAAGGGGCACCTGGTCAACTCTCCTTCTGTCTGCGTTCACCTCTCTCCAACAGCCTGGTTGACCTGACCACCTACTTGCTAGGGCTTGGTGAAATCTAAGAAAGAAATCTAAGATTTGGTGAAATTTGGGTGAAAATCACCTACTTACTAAAATCTGCCCATGGGCCAGATTCAGGAAGCAGTTACGCATGCATTGTACAGGCAATGAACCTGTACATCTTTTCTCAATTTTTGGCGGCTTTGTTTACAATTATTAAACAGTTAATGAGCTCCTAAGCACCAGGAGGCTGTTTATAACAATAACAACAATTGATTGGCAAGTTTTCATGCTTGTAAAAGAGGATTTCACGCTTTATATTGTAAACTGTTTAATAAATGTAACCAAAGCCGTCAGAGATTGAGGAAAGATGTACACGTTCGTAAGTACTTGCGTAACTGCTTCGTGAATCTGACCCCCTGGTCGCGGGGACATTGAAATCCCCGAAAGCAGCAACAGGTAATCTTGGTTATCTTGAGATGATTTCGGGGCTCATCGTCCCCGCGGCCCGGTCCTCGACCAGGCCTCCTCTTTTTGTTACACACACACACCCAGGAAGCAGCCCGTAGCAGCTGTCTAACTCCCAGGTACCTATTTACTGCTAGGTGAACAGGTGTATCAGGGTGAAAGAAACTTGGCCCATTTGTTTCCGCCTCCGCCGGGGATCGAACCCGGAACCTTAGGACTACGAATCATGAGCGCTGTCCACTCAGCCGTCACGCCCCTAGGATATACTTGTTGCCAAGTCATACTTGAGCTTGTTTGAGGTATTTGATTGTGATAAAGAATGTATCTGCTATTTCCTGTATGCTCTCTTCTACTTAAAGTTCATCTAAGCTGCATGTACCTATCATGGTCATGGGGGATATGACAGGGTGCCCTGTCTTCCATGACATGACAGGGCATCTGTAAGGGTCATGTCTTCCATGACATGACAGGACACCTGTAAGGGTCATGTCTTACATGACATGACAGGGCACCTGTAAGGGTCATGTCTTCCTTCTGCTGCTGGCTCCACTCTCCTCTTTCTCCTCTTCCTCCTCCTCCTCCTCCTCCTCCTCCTCCTCCTCCTCCTCCTCCTCCTCCTCCTCCTCCTCCTCCTCCTCCCTTTCCTTGGCTCATAAAGTAACATTATTCTCTCTTAATCCAGTTGCTTTCCAAGTTGTAACTTTGGACTCTATGGCTATTCTCGCTTTCCCTTCCCTGGGTGCTCCCGCCCCCCTTGCTGCTGCAGGACAGGTGTGGAGGCGACCTCACAGGTGTAGAGGGGACGGGACAGGTGTAGGGGGACAGGTGTGGTACACGCGAGGCAGTGCCTGGCATGATGGCTCCCTCCCGCTACTGTCACACACCGCTCGGCCGGCCGCAGGTCACGGCAAGTTTTTGTTGGGTGTCATTCATGTAACGGCTGGCGGCCCCCAGCTGTTGTTTACACCAGCGGTCCTTACTGGCGCGCTCTCCTGTTGGTGGTGGTGTGGTGGTGGTGGTGTGGTGTGGTGGTGTGGTGGTGTGGTGTGGTGGTGGTGGTGGTGTGGTGGTGTGTGGTGTGGTGGTGGTGGTGGTGGTGTGGTGTGGTGGTGGTGTGGTGGTGGTGGTGTGGTGGTGGTGGTGTGGTGGTGGTGGTTGTCTGGTGGTGTGGTGTGGTATGGTGGTGTGGTGGTGTTGGTGTGGTGGTGGTGGGTGTGGTGATGGTGGTGGTGTGGTGGTGTGATGTGATGAGAGGAAGCCGGGCGGCCGAGCGGACAGCACGCTGGGCACGTGATCCTGTGGTCCCGGGTTCGATCCCGGGCGCCGGCGAGAAACTATGGGCAGAGTTTCTTTTACCCTATGCCCTTGTTACCTAGCAGTAAATAGGTACCTGGGAGTTAGCTGTCACTGGCTGCTTCCTGGGGGTGGAGGCCTGGTCGAGGACCGGGCCGCAGGGACGCTAAGCCCCGAAATCATCTCAAGATAACCTCAAGGTCGGCTGGTTATGCTCCATGTATGTGGTGGGAGAGTATTTTTTAATATTATTTTTCTACCACAGACGTGGCCACACATTTACAATGCTAATCAGCATATATTCATTTTCTTCTGTCCTCCATGGACAGGGTTAGAGAAGTGTTAAACATATAGTTCAGTGTTGTATTGTACAATCAACCACAGCATGATTGTAGTGCATATAAAATGCTAATCTAACTTACATACAGAAATACACAGATTTACGTCTGCCCCATGTAAACAGTGTTTGATGGGTCTTTTTTACATAATGTCATTAATGTGCGTTTACAAAAGTTAACAACTGTTGATTTCAAAAGGAAAATAAAGAAGATTGTGCAGGAGTTGGATTAACAAGACTATGATGGGCTGCGAACTGCTAACATAAGCTTAATACTCTTACTCTCCGGGTCTCCACCAGGGACGCAGGTGGACTCTCAAAAGCCGCCACATGTAAACACAGGACAATTCTGTCGGAAAATCCGACACTATTTAATATCATACAGATAATAGCTGTGTTGTATAAACAAGTTACCCATAGAAAACGTAACTTGTAGTGGAATTACCGTCTAAAGAAAACGGGATATCATCACCACATACTATTATAATTCACCAGCTATTCTGCTGGGAATTATTCTTAAATACATTAGTCTTTGGACTTTACCATCATAAAAACATCTTATATAAATTAACTTAATTATCAATATTAAAGTAGAGTAAATGTGACCCTTCTATCACTTTCTGAAATCTGGACAAAGTAGGCCAGGCGTCAGAGTGGGGAAGGAGGGCAGCCATTGTTATACGAGACCAGAGGCTCACACGGGAGCAAATTCGGCTCCTGTTAATTTTACTTGGACGTAGTGTTATGGATACCAAAGGTGTACCATCTGTCAACACGCTGTCAACAAATCAAGTTAAGTGTTCTTTCCGAAACTCATTATTTATCATTAGTGGCCATTAATGTCATTATATAGGGTGACCCGGTTAGATCACATGGAAGCCTCAAACTAAAGGTAATTAAGCCAGGTCTTCATGTTCCATGTACTGTTTTCTCTGATATACTTGTCATATATAGGTTTCTGGCTTCACAGCTAGCGCACTTTTGACAGGTCAAGACGAGGAAGCAAGATTTGTGCACCAGTTACTGGGTGATATGGAAGCTACCTCAAAGAGGATAATTTGGTGTCTACACCCTAGTTATACCTGGTGGACTAACCTGCTGTACTATAAGATAAGGAACCTCTTTAATGTATGTAGTTATTTCTGTAGTTTGATTGGCTGCATATATATTAATTTAATAACCCCCCCTAATGTGTAGAGGATCGATTTGTGAGATTATGAGATTATTGCAGAAATACAGTCCACTTATCATTATACAAATTGCTATCGAAGTATACAAATTAACGTAAATATAAATTCATATAAATTAAATAAATATAAATCTCACAGGTCGGTGCCCACAAATTCCTTCGTTACTTGAATGTCGTAAACTAATTTTTATAAGTGTTTGTCCGTGTCCTCCCGCCCGCCCGTGTCCTCCCGCCCGCCCGTGTCCTCCCGCCCGCCCGTGTCCTCCCGCCCGCCCGTGTCTTCCCGCCAGCCCGTGTCTTCCCGCCCGCCCGTGTCTTCCCGCCCGCCCGTGTCCTCCCGCCCGCCCGTGTCTTCCCGCCCGCCCGTGTCCTCCCGCCCGCCCGTGTCCTCCCGCCCGCCCGTGTCTTCCCGCCCGCCCGTGTCTTCCCGCCCGCCCGTGTCTTCCCGCCCGCCCGTGTCTTCCCGCCCGCCCGTGTCTTCCCGCCCGCCCGTGTCTTCCCGCCCGCCCGTGTCCTCCCGCCCGCCCGTGTCCTCCCGCCCGCCCGTGTCTTCCCGCCCGCCCGTGTCTTCCCGCCCGCCCGTGTCTTCCCGCCCGCCCGTGTCCTCCCGCCCGCCTGTGTCTTCCCGCCCGCCCGTGTCTTCCCGCCCGCCCGTGTCTTCCCGCCCGCCCGTGTCCTCCCGCCCGCCCGTGTCTTCCCGCCCGCCCGTGTCCTCCCGCCCGCCTGTGTCTTCCCGCCCGCCCGCCGTATTCATCCTGTGCTTGTGCAGACGAGGAGTCACAATAACGTGGCTGAAGTATGATGACCAGACCACACACTAGACGGTGAAGGGACGACGACGTTTCGGTCCGTCCTGGACCATTCTCAAGTTGATTGTGTCGACAATCGACTTGAGAATGGTCCAGGACTGACCGAAACGTCGTCGTCTCTTCACCTTGTAGTGTGTGGTCTGGACAACATCATCCTGTACTTGTTTCACAGTAGTAAACTTTTGAGTGCCGTCACGAACACGTATGTGTAATGACCTCAAGCAATTGCTACAAGAACCAGACGAAGCTCGGCCGGTGGATCTGGTCGAGTTTCTGTGCAGTAATTAAGTCATTAGGAAGTCATTTGTGGGAGGTAGTGAGTAGTCTGCTCTTGACTGTCGCTTTTTCAGTTCCTGGTCGTGGAGCACTGCACATGGTGGCGGGTACTTGTCGGCCTTGTCCCCTCCGGTTGACTCCTCCTGAGCCACGATGTGTGTGTTCCTACCCAGGTCGGGAGCCGGTCGGCCGAGCGGACAGCACACTGTACTTGTGATCCTGTGGTCCCGGGTTCGATCCCGGGCGACGGCGAGAAACAATGGGCAGAGTTTCTTTCACCCCTATGCCTCTGTTACCTAGCAGTAAAATAGGTACCTGGGTGTTAGTCAGCTGTCACGGGCTGCTTCCTGGGGGTGGAGGCCTGGTCGAGGACCGGGCCGCGGGGACACTAAAAAGCCCCGAAATCATCTCAAGAATCATTAACGACTCCTAGGTGAACAGAGGCATCAAGTGAAAGGAAACGCCCCTACCGTCCTCGTCCCCCCGCGGGAATAGAACCCGGGACCTCAGGTTGTGAGTCCCGTCAATATGAACTACTAAGCTTCAGGACCTTCCACTGAGCTACAAAGATTTTTTAAAGCCCTTTAATATGAGCTTTAATGACCTAATTTGGGCACGTAATCAGCCGGGCTGTGATACCTAAACCGGAGTGCAAGCTGTAAACACCAACAGTTTGGCTGATCATGCCATCAACCAGGAGCTAGATCATAGAGGACCATACACCCCGGACCCCCCCCCCCCCTTCCCATGAAAGGCAGATACTAACTGATCAAGATTGATTGATGATTGATGAAGATTAAGCCACCCTACAGGTGGCACGGGCATGAATAGCCCATAAAGGGGGGGGGGGTGATCAAGATATGACAGACCACGAACTGTAACTAACTGGAAGCAGGCGAAGGGAACTATCAGGGAGAAAGCGCCAAGTCATTACGACTATATAGCACTTGGAAGGGATGAGGATAAGGATTTAGGATGGGATGGAAGGAAAGGAATGGTGCCCGATAGAGTTTAAGAGAAGATACGAAGGCAGTACATCTTGACGGAACCCGGATCTCTGCACTCTCCAAGGACGTGGGGGTTTCGTCCTATTGTATGACCCTTAATATTTCCTCATAAATACATGAGGTTCGAACCCTCATCACGTCCCTTGTGGATTGGTTCATGAGATTCTTGTTATATCGCTGTCCGGTTTTTAATTTGCGGTGGAGAGAAAGGTGTAAGCAACAGCCTGGTGGACCAAACTCTCACAAGTCAAGCCTGGCCTCGGGCCGGGCTTGGGGAGTTGATACCTGGTTGATACCTGGTTGATGGGGTTCTGGGAGTTCTTCTACTCCCCAAGCCCGGCCCGAGGCCAGGCTCGACTTGTGAGAAGTAGAAGTTCTGGGGTTCTGGGAGTAGAAGAACTCCCAGAACCCCATCAACCAGGTGTGAGGGAGACTATCCCCAAGGGGGTGAGTGGATAGTGGGTATCGTTTGGTGGTGCTTGTGGGATAGGGGCCTAGCAGGATGTGTTGAAGGATGTGTTGAAGGATGTTGTGGTGGCGGTGTTGTTCGGGATCATGACCCCAAATGACAAAAGGTTGTGTACCTGGTGCAATTTCCACTCGAACATAGGTCCTATATACAGCTAGACAGACAGATATAGGATCTATATACACCTAGACAGACAGACATAGGCCCTATATACAGCTAGACAGACAGACAGAGCCTACCAGAGAACGAGCCCAATAAACTACCAAAGTTCAGGAATATTTACCACTGAAGAATTACAAAAAAAGAGAATGACTGTAGCCTCCCTCCCCCTCCTCCCCTCGAGACGACGGGTGTCGCTGTAACGAGGGCTGTCTGTATCTGACCCGTCATTACTGTCACTTTCTGTTTCTCCCCTGAACCCGTCACTCTCTGTCCTTGAATTTACCGTCTTTGTTTAACTTCACATTGAAGATCCGTCAGACGGGGAGTGCTAGAGGCTGGGTTGTGTTGGCGCAGGCAGATGTGTGTTCATACGCGAGCACGTGTGTGGGTGGATTACACGCAGGCAGGTATGTACATACGCAGGCAGGTATGTACATACGCGAGCAGGTGGACAGGAATCCACAATGCGGAAGGAAGTGGTGACGTACGGATTTTTTAAAGTGGGTGTGAGTTAGTGGGGTTTGGAGCCCCACAGAATTGGCAGGTGTGGGAGTGTTTGAATCCACATGAGTGGATTGTGTGTGTGGGGGGGGGGGGTTGTTGTTTAGATTCATTGGGTTCTGATTCACAGGGGGGCATCAGAGAGCATCTTTGGCTTCGCGAGAGGGCAGGATTCCCAGTTGGGCAGAAGTAATGTGTCCGGATCCACACAAGGGAACGAAAAATACATTCGGACGTGGAGGAGGTGGCAAGTGTGGTGAAAGTGGTGTCAAAAGTGTTGCCAAAAGGATGTGTGTTTGGGGGGGGGGAGGGGGAAGTTATCAGTATCTCTAGTTGGGGTGTACGTTGTGTTCGTATTCATATGTGGGCAAGGATTGTGTTGGTATCCACAGGCACCGAGACTACATAGATATGTTCCCTTAGGATATGCTTGATTTCTGGCAGATGTGGACCACTATGTGTGTATTGGTGGGTACGGTGGTGGGCAGGGGTGGGCGCGGGGCATCACAAGCACCATCCTCTAATAATACCCCACAGTCTCAAAACTACCTCAATGCTCAATTTCATCATTACATTTCCTTTACACCCAAACCATACAGTCCCACTTTACATATAGGTGGAAATTGGGTGATATAGGGTCTTCTCCACAAGACATCGGTGACTGCCGTCAGATTATACGAAGCATCTTGACGATGGTAACCTTGAGCTGCAAGTATGTGTAGCGTACTGGACATGCTGGCAGGCGGTGGTACCGCCTGTTAATACCTGCTTGAGATTCGCCTAGTGCCATCTGTTGTCAGTCGGGGAAGTGAGCTACTCGCAATGTGGCAATGGTCCAGGACGCGCCAACACGTCGCTGCTCTGCCTGGCGTATAATATAAAAATGGAAGCCACGTAGAAAACTTAGTCAAATCATAACATAGAACGAAAAGGCAAAGTAAAGGATCTGGGTGTACTCATGTCGGAAGACCTTACCTTTAAAGAACACAATAAAGTAGCCGTCACAACTGCAAAAAAATGACAGGTGGATAACAAGAAACTTTCACACTAGAGATGCTATACCGATGATGATACTTTTCAAAAGGCTTGTGCTCTCTAGAGTGGAGTACTGCTGCACAATGACAGCCCCTTTCAAAGCTGGAGAAATTGCTGACTTGGAGAGCGTGCAGAGATCCTTTACTGCTAGAATTCACTCGGTAAAACACCTAAACTATTGGGACCGACTAAAGAGCCTAAATCTGTATTCTCTTGAGCTCAGGCGGGAGAGATACGTAATAATTTACACGTGGAAAATAATAGAGAGGCTGGTCCCAAACCTGCACACAGAAATATCATCACATGAGACCAGAAGACATGGCAGGATGTGCAGAATACCCCCGTTGAAAAGTAAAGGTTCAACAGGTACTCTGAGAGAGAGAACTCTATCAACATCAGAGGCCCGAGACTGTTCAACACGCTTCCACTACACATAAGGGGCATAACCGGCAGACCCCTTACAGTGTTCAAAAGAGAACTGGATAAGCACCTCCAAAGGATACCTGATCAACTAGGCTGTGACTCATACGTCAGGCTACGAGCAGCCACGTCAAACAGCCCTTCTGGAAGAAGTCCCAGAACCCCATCAACCAGGTAACTGCCGCGGTTCTTGGGCGCTACTTTCAGGAAGAAGGTTAAAAAGTCGTTTGTGTCGCTATCTATCAACCAGGCTTCCAACAGCCTGGTTGACCAGTCCAGCAACGAGGAGGCCTGGTCAACAACTGGGCCGCGGAGACGCTAAGCCCCGGAAACACCTCAAGTTAATCTCAAGGTAACCTCAAGGCGTGTGGTAGTGTTGTGTGTTTATCCACCACACCATGGTCACTTGTTGCGGTTACCTTGTCATGGTCTCCAGGGTCAACGTCCCCGTTGCCAGATCTCTGACCAGGTCTCCTGATTGGTAATATGATCAACCAGGCTGTTGGACGCGGCTGCTCGCAGCCTGGCGTATGAATCACAGCCTGGTTAATTAGGTATCCTTTGGAGGTTTATCGAATTATCTTTTGAACGCCGTGAGAGGTCGTCCAGTTGTGTAGTGGAAGCGTGTTGAACCGTCTCGGGCCTCTGATGTTGGCAGAGTTCTCTCTCAGCGTACCTATTGCACCTCCGCTTTTCAAAGGGGATATTCTGCACATCCTGCCATGCATCCTATTCTCATATGATGATATTTCTGTGTGCAGATTTGGAACCAGTCCTTCTAGTATTTTCCAAGTGTAAATTAGTATATGTCTCCCGCCTGCTTGCATGGGTGCATTGCATGAAACCCCTTATTGGGCTTCAGTGGAAGTGGGCCTCAGGATTCCTACTGGATTCAATTGAATCCCATGTTACAATGACCATGTTTTGGTGTGTGGGTTCGAATCCTCCCAGTGGCTCCTACTGATTTTCTCTTTATACTGGTGTACTGAAGCATACTCACCCGGTGTACTGAGGTATAAACTGGTGTACCTCTGTATAGTCAGCTGGTGTAAGGCTTGGACTCAGGCGGTTTATA